CGACACTTACTCTCGTATTGACATCTTCCTGACCAACCAAATAGGCTTCACTAAAACCCAAAAAACAGAAATAGGCACTATAGCCTGGTCAGATCACGCAGACATAGCCATCTATCTGGAAGGCCTATATAGTCCAACACCGTGGACATGGAAGCTAAATACCTCCCTCCTTCAAGACCCACTAGTTGTAACTGAACTACAAACACAACTACAGACATATTTCACAGAAAATATAACGCCAGATATCCCGATGACTGTAATTTGGGCAGCGCACAAAGCCGTCATTCGGGGACACCTTATCAAAATAGCGACACATAAAAAGAAATTGAAAACCCAAAAACTGACCCAACTTCTAGACTCCCTTCGTAAAGCGGAACAGAGCCACAAAACAGACCCGAATCCGCAAACGTTACAACACCTACTAGACACGCGCCTAGCTATCAGGCAGCTACTAATAAACGACACAGCGCGAGCACTAACATGGACTAAACGGACATACTACGACAAATCGAATAAAATGGACACACTACTCGCTCGGACACTCCGCCCTAGAACGCAACGTCCTCACATTACATCCATACGAGCCCCCGACGGCACCATGAAAACCACACCGACAGAGATAGCGCAGATTTTTACCTCCTATTACGCAGCCCTATACAACCACACCCCCCAAAGTCATACGCACACTCAGACAGCTTGCCAGAGGACGTCGGAATTCTTAGCGCGCCTCAACCTACCCAAACTCCACACCGCAGCCATAGAAGAATTATCAGCCCCAATCAGCACAGACGAAATCAATATGGCCATATCCTCCTTGAAGAGCAACAAAGCCCCGGGCCCTGATGGCTACGAGGGGAGCTACTACAAAACCTTTCGTGAGATACTACTCCCACACATGGAGACTTTATTCCGCGAACTACTCGAGGGAACCCCTCCTACCAAGGACATGACACAGGCACATATCATACTCTTACCCAAACCAGACAAGGACCACACCCTACCAGAAGCATATAGACCCATATCACTAATAAACCATGATAGTAAAATCTTTGCCAAAATATTAGCGACAAGACTGAACCCGCATCTCACGCGGCTCATCCACGCAGACCAGGTCGGGTTTATTCCCGGCAGGCAGTTATTTGAAAATACCAGACGGAACATAGACGTGATATGGACACTCACTACAACCAACACACCAGCGATTGCCCTGTCCCTAGACGCTGAAAAAGCGTTCGACAGGGTGAACTGGCCATACATGTTCACACTACTAAGCCATTTAAACATACCCCCCACCTTCATCACGGCAGTACGGGCGCTATACACAGACGTGACAGCCCAAATACAGCTGACCGGATCAAACAGCCCACGATTTAACATCTATAACGGAACTAGACAGGGCTGCCCCCTATCCCCGTTACTTTTTGCACTAACACTCGAACCCCTTTTACAGGCGATCAGAGAACACCCCGAAATTACGGGGGCAAAGATAACAGACCAAGAGTTCCTGGTCTCCGCATACGCCGACGACGTTCTCATCACATTAACTAACCCCATCCGCTCCATGCGCGCGCTGATGCCCCTCTTGCAAAACTACAGTACAATATCAGGCTACAAAGTCAATATGGAGAAATCCAGCGCACTCCCAATACTACTCGCGCAGAATGAGACCACCCAAATCACGTCAGACTATCACATACGCATGGCACCGACCTACCTCTCCTACCTCGGCATAAAACTGCCGGCAGACCTCACGAAACTACACCAACTTAACTACTCCCCGCTAATCACTAAACTCATAACGGACATGGAGACCTGGGCGGATAAACCCATATCCTGGATTGGCAGGATACATTCAATAAAGATGAACATCCTACCGCGTATCCTTTTTCTATTCCAGGCCCTACCCATCCCCATAACGAAACAAGACTTAAAGCCTCTACAGCAGGCCATTGACCGCTTTATCTGGCACAACAAAAGGCACAGAGTGGCCCGTAATATTCTATATCGCCCCAAACCCGGAGGGGGATTAGGCCTACCACACATACATTTCTACTACATTGCAGCCCACTTGACACAAATAGCGATGTGGCACACCCCTCCGGACACCAGGAGATGGGTGGACCTGGAATCCCTGATTATGAAATCGGACCTCCCTCAGTTTTACATATGGACCCCGAAAGAGCATAGAGCACTTTTAAGGACTACCTGCCCAGCTATTACAAATTCGATTCACATCTGGGACAAATATGCCACAAAATACGAACTAACAACATCGTCCTCCCCCCTTACCCCCATATACAGAAATAGGGCATTTATTCCAGGCATGAGACCCAGAGATTTCAAAGGCCTGGAAAATGCAGACCTACAAAGAATTCATCAACTCTACACAGGTCACGACATAATCACCTTCGCTGAATTACAAACCAGAACAACCCTAACCCCCGCAGATTTCTTTAGGTACCTCCAGCTAAGACACTATGCTACCCAAGAACCTGTTAAAAGAGCTGCACTAGCTAAACCAACATTCTTTGAAAACATATGCCTGGCCGAACGCTACCAAAAGGGATTGATCTCCCTCTTGTACTCCCATCTCTGCTCCACTACACGGGACTGGGGCACCCTCCACTACACAGACAAGTGGGAAACCGACCTTGGGGAAACATTAGAGGGGGTAGACTGGCAGGACATATGGCAGGCCACTGCTAAAACTTCTATTTGCGTCACGATGCAAGAGCAGGCCTACAAAACGATGTTCAGGTGGTATACCACCCCTGTTCAGCTATATCACATGAAAAAAACACCCACAGACCTCTGCTGGCGCAATTGTGGGGAGAGAGGGACATATACCCATATGTGGTGGCACTGCCCTAAGATTAAAATTTATTGGACGGCCATTCGAACCCTCATGACCCAAATATTCGATAGGCCAGTGACACTGAACCCTTGGACGTTCCTACTAGCCAGACCTCAGGAGAATTGGTCCAAACCAAACCAACATCTGTTTGACAAAATAACCTTAGCGGCCAGGAGAGCGTTAGCCCAGACCTGGTTACAGCAGGACACCCCCTCAGTAGCAATAGTGATTAACAAAATCAAAGAATGCCACTTAATGGACAAACTCACGGCCCAAATTAGGGGCACAGCCAAAGCTTTTACTAAGACGTGGGAACCGTGGGAGACCTATAATGACCAGTAAGACCAATAAAGACCATGTAGCAGAAAGGAGTCGCAAACGCTAACGATGGACTGCAGTAACCCCCCCCACCCCTTCCCCCCCCCCAACCTACCTCAACTTCTCTCCCCCCACCCAACCCATGACCGTTTGGACCGAGATGACCGGTATCCCGGCCCACAGTTCAGTTATTTTATTTTTCTATACACAATGTTCTTGTTGAAACAATAATACCAACAACCACAATGGATGAAAGTAGAGATGTTAAAAATCCTCATATGTACCTGACATGTGTATGTACTTTTGAAACGCTCTTGCACGAGCCAAACCTTATGCATTGTCTACTCCATACCGTTGCAAAAATAAAGAATTATAAAAAAAAAAAAAGGGCGTTGCCCACTGAAATTAACTCAGAAACAGAACAATGTATATTTTTATGTACACATAAGGAAAGAACATACAATTTCGACTATGGATTTTAGTAATCTACATTCTTCTCTTATGATGCCGTGGCAAATCTTTATAAAATCAATGTTATGCTTCAGTGGGATTTCAAACAATTTTCAATGATAGGTAGGCTTCTTACGTAAATAACAACATGTATCTAGATGACTTGTGTTTCACCCTAATTGTTAAGCTAACTCCTGCCCCAGGTTAGAGTAAATTTTAAACTGTGTTGTTGCCCCGACAACATCCTAACAATTGAATGTAATGCACACCTTGATTTTCCAACAAATGAAATAAAATCTATTAAGTAAATAATGCAACATGATTCACCTGCGGGTTTTCAACATCATTCTAGTTTAGTTTCGGTTACGTGACAAACAATCTGAGCTCTGAGCTCTTAGATCGGTAACTAGAATGTTTCCAAAAAATACTGAAAGCATTTTGGTCAATATAACTTAAATGCTACACCTTTTTAAATATGCTCTATAGAGTGAAAATACACTTTTCATCTAACGTAAGTATTTAATATGATCAAGAAACTCACTGCTTTAATGATAAAATTAAAAGAGAAAAAAAATACTCAATAAGACAAATGAAGATAGAACAGCCATACCAAGAAAAATATGGATGAACATGATAAACATGAAGACACACCAGACTGACTGCAGTCACACGTTTTAAATAATATTTTAACTTGGGGAAAAAAACTCTGCAAAAATGGCTATTTTTTTTTTTTTTAACCCAGAATAAGTAGAATGGATTCTACAAAGCAGACATCCATTTCCTTTATTTTTTTCAATAGCAGAAATGAATTAAACAAGGTAAAACAGAGAATAAAGAACATACTGTGAACTGACACCATCGGGAACTTGTTATTACAGATGATTTTGAAAATGAATAAAAAATATTGATAGTTGATAGTTGATAGTTGAAGTGACAATGTAGTCTCATGGATTTTTTTTTTTTTTTAGCTATGAGATGATTACGTGTTGATTAGAATAAGAGCTGCAAGTCCATAATTATTCGTTGATGTGTTGGCTTGTGTGTTTACTGAACTAATTTCAAAAAAATAGTAAAACCTTTAAAAATAAATAAATTGTGTTTACAGTTTTTTTTGTGTGTGGAACCAAGCATACAATTGGTCCATTACAATGAAGGACTGGCGGTACAGCCCAGATGAGAAGTAAGGCTCATAAGTCATTAAAGGAACACTATAGTCACCTAAATTACTTTAGCTAAATAAAGCAGTTTTAGTGTATAGATCATTCCCCTGCAATTTCACTGCTCAATTCACTGTCATTTAGGAGTTAAATCACTTTGTTTCTGTTTATGCAGCCCTAGCCACACCTCCCCTGGCTATGATTGACAGAGCCTGCATGAAAAAAAAAACTGGTTTCACTTTCAAACAGATGTAATTTACCTTAAATAATTGTATCTCAACCTCTAAATTGAACTTTAATCACATACAGGAGGCTCTTGCAGGGTCTAGCAAGCTATTAACATAGCAGGGGATAAGAAAATCTTAATTAAACAGAACTTGCAATAAAGAAAGCCTAAACAGGGCTCTCTTTACAGGAAGTGTTTATGGAAGGCTGTGCAAGTCACATGCAGGGAGGTGTGGCTAGGGTTCATAAACAAAGGGATTTAACTCCTAAATGGCAGAGAATTTAGCAGTGAGGCTGCAGGAGCATGTTCTATAAACCAAAACTGCTTCATTAAGCTAAAGTTGTTCAGGTGACTATAGTGTCCCTTTAACAAGTTATAGTCCTTGAATTTTGACATATGTGTGCATTCCTTTTGGGTGTTAGGTAATTATGTCTGAGCCATAAGTATCAGCTCATTATCCAACAGGAGATTGCTTAGCTTTCCCAATTGTCAGCCAAGGACCGGTGCATTGCTTTAAATTTAATTATAGTAATTATGTCTATTTCTATATTTTCATTGTGGTAGTAAAAATACACAAATTTACAAAGTATTAATAATAAACAAATAGGGTTAATTCAATAAGCCAGGCCTCAACGAAGATCACAACCTGGGAGCCATATCATTTGTTTCCGACATGAAGAAACTGTTTAGTTCTGTGAATGCAAGGCTCACCCAATAACATGCAGATCTACGCATATTGCAGCTACGTCACACGGAGCACACATTAATGATAGCAATATAAATTGTAAGAGTAAAAAGACACAAACACACTTACATTTTTTTTCTAGATTTAATGCTTTCTGGACCAAATCGTGGCAGCAGAAAGACAGAAAAAAAACTGCAATTGTGAAATCTGGATTATTAGTACGGTCCACACGCTATCAGACATTATTTATATTTGTTCTCCACAGCAGTTAAGAAGTAGCAGTATCGTACTTATGTGGGGGAAGACAGTCACTTTGGTGACAGGTGGGAAGGGGATTTACAGAGCACCCCCTTGTGATCAGAGCAGGCACTTGCAGCAAGAGGTTGCACTTCAGAATTAGACCCTCAGGCAGACATAGCAGACGGTAGGGTAACTGCTAGGATCAAATAGGCAAAATAGACAAATTGGCTGGTTTAGACACGATTAATATAGTTCTTGGTAAGTTTGTTAGGTTTCAAGCTTGTTGGTGGCTCAGAACCTGGTGGGTGTAGGGGTATCCAGGTATACCTCTACCATGGTTATTTAAAACATTGGCACTTTACTTCTATGTTTATGTTGGTAAATATTGTTATATAAAATTAATCAAAGTAGGATCAGCGCTAGTAATGCCACAGAAAATATATAAAAAAGTAAAAAGGCAGCACACCTATAAAGGGGGTACCCTCCTATCCCCTATAGCTTAATAAGAAACGGAAAAAAAAGGGAAATAGGGCGCGCCTTTAATAAAAATACATCAATATGTAACTAAAAAGTACAATAAAAATAAAAATTAGAATAAAAAAGTCCAAGGTAATAGTCCACAGATATATAGGGAGTGTTCTTTCTAGCGTAATGTGGTTTCGTCCCAGATGATGACTTGTATTTTCAGTGAGCCATATGTGGAAAAAATAGAAAGGACAACCAATGGTACAGTATGTAGGTATGGATGAATATATATGAAATAAATTGGAATTACTCACAATTTCCAGAGCTAAAATCCAGCTCTGGTATGAAGTGCGTGAAGTGGAATGATCCCCACTCAAGGATATATGGAGCAATAACTTGTAGAATAGGTGGTCCACCGAGGATTCCGACAATGTATTGAGCAATCCTCTCTGCTTAATTTTTAGCGTATGGGTGGTATAATCCCCACCTAGGGATTTTCCGTAAATTCGTGTTGGTTCAAGTTAGTCAGGTATAGGAATAAAAATAGTTAAAAAACAGGAATGTGGCAATAAAATATTTGAGACAAAAATTCCTTTATTATAACAATATAAAAAAACTATTAAAATACATTCTAAACGTGTTTCACCCACAACAGGCTTCTTCAAGTAGAATATAGTAGAAACAGTAACCTGACTAACAATGCTTTATATAAGGTTTGTTAAATGTACTGGAATTTGAATATTCCCGCCAAAATGACATCATCACAAACTGAATTTTAAAAAAACAAATCAAAACAAAATGACAGTGGTAACAATAACTTATATATACATGTACAAAATGATTATATACATATTTTATAAAAACAAGGTGTAAATATTGATTGTAAATGGAGATCACGTGACGCGCGGCAAGGAATTACTTCCGCATCACGTGGGCGCAATGTAACGCATGCGTTCCACTGATGGAACGCATGTGTATAGGAACAGGGTGCCGGCCGGATAAAAGCAAATAAGCACCACGTCACCAGAGGGGAGGGACCCTCTGGTGATCGTATGTGCAGAAAGCAAGACTGTGAGCATGCCGTCCGTTCAGACGGGCGAACAGACAGCATGCTCACAGGAAAGGTCAGCCTGGCCACAAGTTCTCATACACAGAGGGCATAGAAACAAATATAAAACCATGGCCACAATACATAAGAGGCACATAATTAGAAGCATGGCTACCTATTAGCTACAGACTAGACAATTAAAAATATATGTGTCTAAAAATAATGTTTTATATAAGATATATTATAAAAGAGTATTTATGTTAAAAAATGTGTTTATAATTTTTTTATATATAATGAAAGTGATTTTGCATTAAAAATATATATATATATATATATCTGAAGGAAAGAAAATATATATGTATAGAAAATATAAAATTATATAAATAAAATGGATATAAATATTATTTATTGTTTATAAGAACATAAAAAATTAAAAAGGTCAAAGTCTATATTAAGACCTTGTGGGGTAAGAGTTTTTAAATTAAATGTCCATTCCATTTCTTTACTACCTAAAATCCTTTTTATATCTCCTCCTCTCCAAGGAATATTGCAAGTATCTATACCTATACATTTTAAAAGTTTGGGATTTTTACCATGTATTAAAAAGTGTTTGGATATTGAGTGGTTCTCATAACCTTTTCGGATATTGCGGCAGTGTTCTGCCAATCTGATTTTTAATTCTCTAGTGGTCATGTCCACGTATTGAAGTCCACATGGGCATTCTAATAGGTAAATTAAATTTTTAATAGTGCAATGGATAAAATCTTTTATAGAGTATATTTTTTGAGTAATGGATGATTTAAAGGAGGTAGTTTTAGATTTAATACTGTCATCCGTATGTCTACATACTATACATTTATTGCATTTAAAAAAAACCTTTGGCTTATTGAGAAAAGATGGAGAACAAAAAGAAGAGGTAGTTTGGTTCTGTTTGGTATAATTCTTTGTAAGGATGGATTTGAAGCTAGGTGCCCCTCTAAATATAACATGTGGTTTTTCGGGGATAATCCCAGCTAAGATCTCATCCTGTTGTAATATATGCCAATGTATATATACAATGAAGAAGCCTGTTGTGGGCGAAACGCATTTAGAATTTATTTTAATAGTTTTTTTATATTGTTATAATAAAGGAATTTTGGCCTCAAATATTTTATTGCCACATTCCTGTTTTTTAACTATTTTTATTCCTATACCTGACTAACTTGAACCAATACGAATTTACAGAAAATCCCTAGGTGGGGATTATACCACCCATACGCTAAAATTGAGCAGAGAGGATTGCTCAATACATTGTCGGAATCCTCGGTGGACCACCTATTCTACAAGTTATTGCTCCATATATCCTTGAGTGGGGATCATTCCACTTCACGCGCTTCATACCAGAGTTGGATTTTAGCTCTGGAAATTGTGAGTAATTCCAATTTATTTCATAAATATTCATCCATACCTACATACTGTACCATTGGTTGTCCTTTCTATTTTTTCCACATATGGCTCACTGAAAATACAAGTCATCATCTGGGACGAAACCACATTACGCTAGAAAGAACACTCCCTAAATATTGTTATATGTTTATGTTTTCAGAGATGGGTCATTGCCTTTTATAACTGTGGGGGATACGGACGTGGTATGGCAGGATTGGGGGCAATTACTTTATTCAATGTTAATTTATTATGATTATATATATTAATAAAAAGCTGTGGACAAATTTGACCCATATACCTTTAGTGTCTGTGGCCTATTGGGTTCGGTATGTGGGGTTAAACCTGGCCATATGGCGACAACGCACCTGTCACGTGTGCACGTTCAGTTGACCCCTCTTTATTAACACTCTTACAAAGTAAAGGAATAAGGGCCAAATCTGACTTACACTTTAAATTGTACATTGCATTTAATATATTGAAGTTCACAAAGGCTGACAATGTAATAGAATAAAGAAACCACAACTTAATATTGTTTAAAGGCAATATTTTTAGTTAATAAAAATAAACGTTTCCATAGAATGCAATGTTCTGAATAATTATCTTGGTTTTTTTAATGTTGATCAAAGTTGTAAAATTACAGAAGTATTGCCAATTTTGTAAAAATATGAAAGGGACGGGCTGAGAACAACTTAAATTAGAATATAAATTTAAATAACTTTAAATCTGTGTGTCATAGGATGAAAAAAATATAATATTGTGAGGTCCTCTGTGTTGGCATTTGTGGAATTGGTAACCAAACTATAAATACAAACTTTGGAGGAAATGAATATTGAACTGTAGTGGGTCCAGAGCATATTTAGAGAAACCATTAATATGTTTAACCATTTCATAATGGATGACATGCTGGCCACTTTTGTGTCATGGATGTACCTAACTATTCATATTCAGGGCTTTTGTTACCATAAGACAGTGCAGACGGCTGCCTTAGGACCCACCAGCAGTGGGGGACAAATATCCATGTGACTGGCAAGAAAGGAGATCCTAGTGCTTCCCTTGCTTCCGGTCACTTCATGTAGCACGGGCGAGCTGCAGCACCTCTCTCCAGTCCAGCCTCCAGTTTAGGTTACTGTTGAAGGCTGTGTGGAACAACGTCATATCTATACTCCCTGTGTACCACACAGCCCAGCTGGCACCTTACTGATGGGGCTGGGCTGCAGGATTTGGACTCCGTAAGAGTGCTTTTAAAATTTACTATAATGTTATACATTACTATACCTAGCTTTTAGAGAAATATATATGATTGGATTTTCTATAAATATATTCAAACTGATAAATTGCC